ACTTATATGTTCTAATCTAGCTTTTACAATTAAATTGATAATATGACATACACAATGTTGATGAAAAAAATAAAGTTCTAAATGTAGGGTTAAGATCATTAATAAATCTTTCAATAACATCTTTGTTCATATTAGCATTATCAAAAGTAAAATTTCGAATCTTATCTTGCATACCATATTCCTGTATGATATCTTTTAAAACCACATATATGTTAGTAGCATTATGAAGATATTCTACACATCTAAATGCAATAATCATTTTATGTAAAAGCCATAGGTGACCAATATAATGAGCCGTGCAGCAATATAACCTTTTCAATTACCACCGGTCTATAAATCAGATGTAAATGATATAACACTATTAAAAGTTTTTAGACTTTCAATAGCAACTTGTTTTCTCTTGTTATATAAATTTATAGTAACTGAACGAAGAGTATTTCTACAATAAGAAGAATACCTGGGTTGAAGATATTTCTGCACGAGCGGGGTAAAGTGTACTGAGTCTATCATCGTAAGCGGCATCTCTGCTGCAGCCATGTATGCAGCTATTCCTTCACGAAATCTTTCCTGTAAATATACAAAGGTGGAAAGAGTAGAACAAGAACCGCCAAACATTAGTTTGGTCTGTTTCGAGTTGAGATCAACTGGTTTCGCTTTGCAAATCCTTAATATGTGTCTATTCAAATTTGTTTTACTCGAACCGGGCTTCCAACTAAGTTTTTTGCCACAGTAATTGCAACATGCTTTCCAAATATCCACTCCATTTTGAACACCAACTTTTTTACATATCATATATTGCTAACAATTCGAGGATTCTTTTTTCGACCTTTTAGTCTCGAGTACTTCTTCCTTTTCAATATTCTCCAAATCAATTGAAATATTTCGAGATGCATCGTCGTAACTGGATGGAGTACTCGAGCTACCCTTTGATTGATTAAACTCATCACTAGTAAAATTCATCTGTAACTAGTATAGTATAAAATACAGAATATTAGAGTATGAGAGTGAAAGAAATTGAATATGAGATTGAGAGCAAAGAAATTGGAGTTGAAATTTGAATCTATAATAATGTAAGTTAAAATCGATTGAAACAAATTGATTTGAAACTTAAAAATTTACCCTGTATTTATAGCACAAAAAATCAATTTTACCTTCAAATTTGAAATTTTAATTTGAATTTGAAATATGAGCATCGTAAATTGAATTGTAAAACACAGTAGAAAATCAGACAATTAATTTGTTTGATTAACTAGGCTGGCAACACCTAGCTGCTGTTACAGGCAGCTTTGTCTTGATGTACATTTTTAATTTTTGTTTGGTTTAAATTTCGAGTGGGCCTTGTCACGGGCCAAAAATGGCATGTGTGGCTCGCCTAGCCACAACGGGTCGGATCGGGTTGGGGCCAACGCCCCAAAATGAGGCTCGGCCCGATCCTAGGCTAGCTCCATCGGACCTACGAGTCGGGCTGCCTCGGGCTTTTCCCGAGCCGAGCCACGAGCTGCTCGAGCCACCGTGCCGGTTTGACATCCCTAGCGATAGGACTTGCAATCATGTACACTTCATTCTCATCAACATTGGAAGTGGAAGACAATAAATTTACTTCAATTCTCTCTTTACCCTTCAGCTGACTCTTTTCTTTATAGCAATCTTTATAAAATGTCCCGTGTTCCCACAAACATAACATTTTCTAACCTCAGTTCTAAATTTTGATCAAGACTTACCATTGTCTTTCTTTTTACTTTCATTGCTATTTGACTCGCCACCATAATGGAACCTTTCATGACCCTTTTTCCTAAATTGAGTTCTGCCCCTTACCATGTGAATCTCACCACATTTCTTATTATGTTTTTCAGCTTTAATCTCTATCTCCTTACTTCTAAGAGAGTCGTTGAGAATTTTAGGCGTCAAATTGTCCCTACCATTTTTAATCGCATTCTTAACTTCATTGTAAGTGTCGAATATAGAATTACGTAAAATTATTGACGTGTATGTTTCAAACATTGAGTCTTCACAGTTAACAATATCTTGAACAAGTTTGTTGAAAACGTCTAAGTTGTCATCAAGATCTTTTGAAAGATCCATTTTAAAACTGAATAAGTGTTCAAGTAAAACTTGTTTGAAGTTGATTTTCTGTAATTTTTTTCAAAGTTCCTTACAGATTTTTAGTTTATCCACTTTTCTCAAAATAACATTAGGTAAGTGTAAAATAATTGAAGTATAAGCAAAATCGTCGGCTTTTTCTTTTTGTTCTTTTGAAAAATCAATAGAGAAATTGCCTTCAATGGCTTTTGGAACTTTTTGTTGGACGAAAATACTTCTTATTTTTTGTTGCCATATTGAAAACTCACCATTTCCATTAAAAATTCTCAAATATCATGTCACCTTTTTATTTTGTTCGCGACATCTATGCATTGCGATGACATTATGGCTACAAAAATTGTGTTGCTATTTCCTATTTTTTGTCTCAAACAAATAGTGTTATGATTTTGTTAAAACGATGAATGGTTGAAAGTTGTCATAAAATACATTCCATGACTCAACATTCGCAACAAACATATTTCTCGTAAAAAATTTATTGGGATATCCGTTGCAGCAAACTATTTTGTCATCCTTTTAATTTTTCGCGACATAAATACATTACAACATCATTATGGTTACATTTATTGTGTTGCTATTTCATATTTTTCTGCGTAAAAAAAAAAGTGTCACGATTTTGTTAATGTGATGAATGGCCAAAAGTTGTCGCAGAACACATTCTGTGATTTATATAGTGCGATAGTACCTGCAACAAACATATTGTTGTCACTAAATTACTTTTGCAACAAAATCTCAATTTTTGCGACAACATTTTTTTGTAAAAAAAAAAATCGGTTACTTTTTGTAGTGAACAATTTGCCCAACCACTTGGAAAAATTCCTACCAGGATCCAGAAATTGTATCCAATCTGCAAACTGATGTATTATTAAGTTGAGATTATGCTTCAAATATCTATGAATGCTTACAAATGAGTAGGGCCACTGTTTCATTGGTATGAACAGGACATGACAGTTCAATGGATTGACTCCAAGAATTACGGTAATATGAAAATGCTGACTAGTCCATGGTATCTAGAGCTATTTTTCTTCTCCATTTCCATTAATTTTTTCCCTGGAATAACTAAGTCCTTCTATCTAAGCTTGTAGTAAATAATTGACTGTTTAGCTTAAATGAAATTATCAGCTACAACTATGTATATATTGATATACGTTCATTTGATTTTGCTACCATTAGATTTTCTTGTGCTTGGCTTCTGGTTTGAATTCGTACCGAGAACCTCTATATAGATTTTAGGTGCCTTGGTACACTGTTGTACTTGAGATATGGCCACCGACCTCCAGAATTAGACTTTATTAGACCTTAGCTATGGCTGTTAACACGAGTTGTATTGCAATATTAGGTAACGGGTTGGTATTTAGTTGCTGTTTGATTTGGATAAAAATTAGATTTTAGAATATTTTTGATCAATGCATGGTTGAAAATTTGATAAAAGTTGTGGTCCCATAAAATGTGTTGTTGAAACGAAGTTTGGAAAAAATGAATTTTAAGAAATGAAAGCCAAATAGGGTCTTAGTAGTCATTGAAATATAGAGTGAATGAGCAATGATGTCATATCCATTGGAATTTCTAAAATAAAAGTCTAATTTAATCAATATTAACTATAATTTTAGTCCAGTTTACAAAACTTTTATCAAGAAATAAAAATTACCTAGATTTTGAAATCAATCTTGGTTTTTCTCCACAATCTCTAATTATCAAGTGTCCTCTAAATTACGCAAAAGGTGGAAATCAAGAGTCACCTCTGCAGCCGAGTGGAATTGCATGCAGCCACCACCAAGTTGGCCCAATTAAATGTGAACGCAGCTGTGTATTTAGAATATTGTGGAAATTTCTCTGTCGTTGGTCCATCATTTAGAATTCTACTTATGGATATTTAAGCAAACATGGAGAGTCTTCAAATATTACGCGGCTTGTTTATTTGACTTGCCTGAACTGAAGATAATTGACATATCGACTTTGGCATTACTATGAATCTAGTTGGACGTTGAATATTTTTAATTGACACCAAAGTTAGACAATAAGTTTAACCACAGAGATATTTTTTGGTTTATTTATACCATGTACCTCTTTGAAAAAATCTTTTGTTTCTTTTGGATTCACTATCTCAAGCACCAAAACCCCAAATCTAAATACATCTGATTTTACCCAGAACACCATCTATAGTGTATTTCGGGGAAATGTAGCCAGTGCATGATAAAAAATAATATCCGGAATCTGAGTTACGAGAAATAGAAGAGCGTTTCACATATTATGGATGATTCTGAGATGGGAATCTTGATGGAGATGTTAAGCTGTCGAACTTAAGTATCGTCGCTATAAAGAGGCAATGTGGATTGAAAAGGGATTGCGATTTTTCTCTTATAAACTTCTAAATTAACTACAGTATGTAGTTTCATATTGAGATGAACCTCTATTAATGTTGCTTGTTCTTTTGTGTCTTTTTTCCTTGTTA